TGGGCACATAAATTCCATAGGCACACACGTCTAGAATCAGGCAGCTAAAGATCCTATGCTCCCCAACCAATCTCGGGGCAAGATGTTACACGGGGTGTAAAGCAAACTTAGTCTGGGGTCCAGTTAGTCCAGCAGTAATGATAGTCCAAACAACAGAAGGCCTTCTTCTTATTCTCCCAACTAATTTCTGTGTCTCTAGCATTCCTTGGCAGGCTTACTGTGTGTAAGTTGTGTCCTGGTGTCACGCCTGGTGTCCTGGAATATTACACACTTCTTGTATAGTGTGTGTCAATGAAGTAGCACAGGGAACATATTTGGACAGCAGTGTCAGTCTCTGGGGAGGTGAGTGTTCCATGCAGGAGTCTTGGCCAAAAATCAGCACCCCAAAAAGACAAAAGCTAGCCGACACATAGAAAAACAAGCTGCAATATGTGTGTGTTCCCATATTGGGGAACGTTTAGCCTTGCCCACAGAGTTCCACTGAGAATTCTAAGCTCCCTTGGGGCAGCCAAATGGCTAGCAGATAATGGCCAACCGCTACATGTGCCAGAGAACTTGTGTGATGGGGAACAGCTAAAACTATTTGCAGGACAGACCACCAGGTGAAAGCAGCAGAAAGGCCAACGAGTCTAACCATTGCTGACCATGCGTTCTCACAGCCGTTCTGAGCAGAGAGTGGTGACTGTCAGTCACCGCTCTCTGCCCTGCCCCCCCCCCACACTCACTGGGCTGTGGAGGGGGAGGGAGCGGCTGGTTCAGACTCTGATGTCGGGATCTTTCCCCAGCCTGGACCGGCTGAGTGACATCAGCTGACAGCGGGCTTCACCTGAAAATGGGTCACAGGAGATCAGAATGAACTGCACTCCTCTGATCCACAGGAGAAGTAAAGACAGAAAGAGCTTTGCATGATTCTTCTCCTTCAAAGAATATGTTCCTCCAACACGTCCTATTCCTGATCTGTGCCGGCTGTCCCATGTCCTGGTATGAAGACGTCTCCTCTTCTCTCTGTATTGCTTCCTTTGTGTGAGATCCCCGGTGATCCTGCCAGTCCCTCTGATTTTCCTATTAAAACTGACCACCTCTGATTTTCCTATTTAAAACTGACCACAGTAGGCATGAGAGCTCAGTGTGGTCAGTGCTACTAGCTGTGCTGGGAGCTCAGTCTGCTCTCCTCCAATCATCAGACTTGTCCTGAGATCACTCCTCCCCAGTTGTCTATGCAGCTGAGAACAGAGGTCATGTGATCACTTATAAGAAAAGGAGGAAATAATTTATAATATTACACACACACGTTTTGCTTTCATTTCTCTGTTTAACTGAATGTGTTGTTTTACAAGGACATTTCATCCCACTTTCCCTGATCTCCTTCAGTGTGTCCAGGACTCAAAGTGCGGGAGTGTGACCTCAGAGTGCCGGGAATGTGACCTAGGGTGCGGGGGAGTGTGACCTCAGGGTGCGGGAGTGTGACCTCAGAGTGCGACCTAAGGGTGCGGAGTGTGACCTCAGGGTACGGGAGTATGACCTCAGAGTGCAGGAGTGTGACCTCAGGGTGCGGGAGTGTGACCTCAGCGATTAGTATGGAGCCATGTCTGATGAAGGAAACCAAGGGCTCTATTTATAGAACATTCATTGGACCAATGAGACAATCATTCCTCCAGCTGTGACAACATCCCGCCACAGTAACACAGTGATTTTCCTATGATCGCCGGCTCCATCTAGTGGCCACAATGAGGTGATTATTTTCTGAAATATCTCCATCAGTAAAACTAGCCCAATATGATATTATGGCCACTAGATGGAGCCAATGATCATAAGAAATAAAATACGGCCAAAAATCCTTCCAGCTGGAGAATGCCGGTCACATCCGTTCAACATTGTTCTCCATAGAACTCCAAGTGTTTGTGAAATCTCCCACCACAAATTGTACTCAGCCAATCACAGGGCAGGACTCCATTTTTATTCTTCTCCTGCCATCAATGGCCATCCCGGTCCCACATTTCATCCATGTCTTTGGGGGACCTCTCATCTCCTTATGAACTGTTTTGTTCCATGATGAAGATCAGCCATGGAGCATATCTGAGGTGTATATCAGGGTGTGCTTCTTCCCCACATGAGAGCTGGGATGTCCAGCAAAATTCATCTAGAAGACATTTCCCGCACTCAAGGCACTAATACACCTCCAGGGTTGTGTGGGATCCCTTATGTACAGGAAGACAGGACTTCAGTGAGGAACATTTTCCTCACTCAGGACAGGAAAGTGGCTTCTCCCCCATGTGAGATCTCTGATGTCTGGAAAGATGGGACTTCTGTGAATAACATTTTTTGCACTCAGGACAGGAATATGGCTTCTCCCCTGCGTGAGATCTCTGATGACTGGAAAGATTTGACATATGTGCAAAACATTTCCCGCACTCAGGACAGGAATATGGCTTCTCCCCTGTGTGAGTTCTCTGATGTGTGTGTAAAGACTGGACTTCTCTGAAAAACATTTCCTGCACTCGGAACAGGAATAAGGCTTCTCCCCCGTTGTGAGTTCTCTGATGTGTGTAAAGACTGGACTTCTGTGAAAAACATTTCCCGCACTCAGGACATACAGTCATGGCCGAAATTGTTGGCACCCTTGATATTTTTCCTGAAAATCAAGTATTACACACAAAAAAGGTATTGCATTAACACATGTTTTGCTATACACATGTTTATTCCCTTTGTATGTATTGGAACAAATATAAAACAGAGGCAGAAAAGCAAATATGACATAATGTCACACAAAAAACCCCAAAAATGGGCTGGACAAAAGTATTGGCACCCTTAACTTAATATTTGTTTGCACACCCTTTGGAAAACATAACTGAAATCAGTCGCTTCCTATAACCATCAATAAGCTTCTGACACCTCTCACCCGGAATTTTGGACCACTCTTCCTTTGCAAACAGCTCCAGGTCTCTCTTATTGGAAGGACACCTTTTCCCAACAGCAATTTTAAGATCTCTCCACAGGTGTTCAATGGGATTTAGATCTGGGCTCATTGCTGGCCACTTCAGAACTCTCCAGCGCTTCTTTGCCATCCATTTCTGAGTGCTTTTTGACGTATGTTTGGGGTCATTGTCCTGCTGGAAGACCCAGGATCTTGGACGCAAACCCAGCTTTCTGACACTGGGCCCTACAGTGCGACCCAAAATCCTTTGGTAATCCTCAGATTTCATGATGCCTTGCACACAGTCAAGGCACCCAGTGCCAGAGAGGCAGCAAAACAAACCCCAAAACATCATTGAACCTCCACCATATTTTACCGTAGGTACTGTGTTTTGTTCTTTGTAGGCCTCATTCCGTTTTCGGTAAACAGTAGAATGATGTGCTTTACCGAAAAGCTCTATCTTGGTCTCATCTGTCCACAAGACGTTTTCCCAGAAGGCTTTTGGCTTACTCAAGTACATTTTGGCAAACTGTAGTCTTGCTTTTTTTATGTCTCTGTGTCAGCAGTGGGGTCCTCCTGGGTCTCCTGCCATAGCGTTTCATTTCATTTAAATGTCGACGGATATAGTTTCGCGCTGACACTGATGCTCCCTGAGCCTGCAGGACAGCTTGAATGTCTTTGGAACATGTTTGGGGCTGCTTATCCACCATCCGGACTATTCTGCGTTGCAATCTTTCATCAATTTTCCTCATCCGTCCACGACCAGGGAGATTAGCTACAGTGCCATGGGTTGCAAACTTCTTGATAATGTTGCGCACTGTGGACAAAGGCAAATCTAGTTCTCTGGAGATGGACTTGTAACCTTGAGATTGTTGATATTTTGCCACAATTTTGGTTCTCAGGTCCTCAGACAGTTCTCGTCTCCTCTTTCTGTTGTCCATGCTTAGTGTGGCACAGACAGACACACAATGCAAAGGTTAAGTGAACGATCGTCTCTCCTTTTTATCTGCTTTCAGGTGTGATTTCTATATTGCCCACACCTGTTACTTGCCCCAGGTGAGTTTACAGGAGCATCACATGCTTGTAACATTCTTATTTATCCGCAGTTGTGAAAGGGTGCCAATACTTTTGTCCAGCCCATTTTTGGAGGTTTGTGTGACATTATGTCGAATTTGCTTTCTTTCCTCCCTTTTTTTTGTTTTGTCCCAATACACACAAAGGGAATAAACATGTGTATAGCAAAACATGTGTTAATGCAATACGTTTCGTGAGAAATACATGATTTCCTGGAGAAATATCAAGGGTGCCAACAATTTCGGCCATGACTGTAAATACGGCTTCTCCTTTGTGTGCGATCTCTGATGTGTGGAAAAGATGGTACTTATGTGAAAAACATTTCCCACACTCAGGACAAGAATACGGTTTCTCCCCCGTGTGAGATCTCTGATGTGTGTGAAAACTAGACTTGTCTGAAAAACATTTCCCGCACTCAGGACACGAATACGGCTTCTCCCCCGTGTGAGATCTCTGATGTGTGGAAAAGATGGGACTTCACTAAAAAACATTTCCCACACTCAGAACAGGAATACGGCTTTTTCCCCTGTGTGAGATTTCTGATGTGTGTAAAGATTGGACTTCTGTGAAAAACATTTCCCACACTCAGGACAGGAATACGGCTTCTCCCCTGTGTGAGATCTCTGATGTGTATGAAGACTAGACTTGTCTGAAAACCATTTCCCGCACTCAGGACAGGAATACGGCTTCTTCCCCCTGTGTGGGATCTCTGATGTGTGTAAAGATTGGACTTCTGTGAAAAACATTTCCCGCACTCAGGATAGGAATACGGCTTCTCTCCCTGTGTGAAATCTTTTATGCTGATTAAGACGGAATTTAGAACAGAAGCTCTTCTTCCACTCAGTACAGGAGAAGCTCTTCCCTGTTGGAAGACCGGCCGGGTCCCACACAGTCTGAGGTTCCTCAGGATACGAGGAATCCGATGGTCCATCTACACTGGGTGGTGCCGAATGGACATTGGAGGGAGCCGGGTTTTTCTCTCCTGGACTATACTGTGTGATGTCCTCATCTTCTACTTTCCAGTCTGGAGACAAAGTGAGACAATCCTCGGAAGTTTTCCTCATCTCCCGGCCATGGACTAAAAGACAAAGAGGATTACTAGACAGGAGCTGATTGGTTCCCCCAAACCAGGACTCCGCCCACATCAGGCAGCTTGGTCTCTGAGGAGCTTACAATTCCACCCTCAAGGGAACTAGGAAATGGCTCCTCTGATCTCCTACCAGGTCATTTTCTTTATTCATGGACCTTAGTCAGAGAGTGAGGAAACAACCAGAACTGTCTTTTATAGGAGGGACAGTGATGAGGGGATTATAGGACGAGGGGCCCCACCCCCTCTATCACTCATCGCCATCTTCCCAACACAAGAAGTACTGCACTTCCTTATTTAGTCCATGATTTAGTCATGAAAGAACAGCGGGGCTGAGCCCTACCAGAGGTCAGAGAGTGAAGATGGGGGGGGAGAACAACCAAGATGAAGACTGGACTGATCCTGAAGACCACCATCATTGGGGTATTGACTCCTCCCTCATTATCACTTTCTGTTTAAGGGTCCAAAGTTGGAGGATGTTATCACATTATTATCACCATGTAAAAGTCTGTGCTCCAATCACATCATCCGATATAAAATGTCCAGCTGGGAGGAAATGGGGGGAACAAAAGAGAATCCATATTATGTGATATATAGCAGTGGGGGGAGGGGGGAGAGAGCAGAAGTCAGGACTATGTAAAGTACAACATAGAGTATATAGTGCAGGGGTCAGGAGTATGTAATGTACAACATAGAGTATATAGTGCAGGGGGTCAGGAGTATGTAATGTACAACATAGAGTATATAGTGCAGGGGTCAGGAGTATGTAAAGTACAACATAGAGTATATAGTGCAGGGGTCAGGAGGAAGTAATGTACAACATAGAGTATATAGTGCAGGGTCAGGAGTATGTAATGTTACTACATGTACAACATAAAGTATATAGTGCAGGGGTCAGGAGTATGTAATGTACAACATAGAGTATATAGTGCAGGGGTCAGAGTGATGTAATGTACAACATAGAGTATATAGTGCAGGGGGTCAGGAGTATGTAATGTACATACACAGAGTATATAGTGCAAGGTCAGGAGGATGTAATGTACAACATAGAGTATATAGTGCAGGGGTCAGGAGTATGTAATGTACAACATAGAGTATATAGTGCAGGGGTCAGGAGTATGAAATGTATAACAGTATATAGTGCAGGGGTCAGGAGTATGTAATGTACAACATAGAGTATATAGTGCAGGGGTCAGGAGGATGTAATGTACAACAGAGTATATAGTACAGGGGTCAGGAGTATGTAATGTACAACATAGAGTATATAGTGCAGGGGTCAGGAGTATGTAATGTACAACATAGAGTATATAGTGCAGGGGTCAGGAGGATGTAATGTACAACATAGAGTATATAGTGCAGGGGTCAGGAGGATGTAATGTACAACATAGAGTATATAGTGCAGGGGTCAGGAGTATAGGTAACTGTACAACCGAGAATAAGATACAGGGGGGTCAGTGATAATACTACAGGGATACATTTTAGTAAATCTGCCCGATGCTGGGATATGTAGTAGTTCCAGGCGCAGGGCAGGTAGTTTTGTTTAACCCTTAGCCCTGTTGTGGGCAAGCAGCAGGGCTCACCTGTCAGGTGAAAGTATTTGGGTGGCAGAGCTGCCGCCGATTGCTTCCACACAGCTTATAGTTACTAGACCCCCCCCTCTACCCCCCCACCTACTGTCAAGGACCCCAGGCTCCAGTTGCAAATCTGCTGGCCCAGGACCAGTTCACTGCCATCGGCTTGGGGGGAGATCAGACATGTCTGCTCCCCTAGAGTTCTTGTCCTGACTCAGAAGTGACATTATGATGTCAACCATGGTTGTCGGATTTTGAGAGATTTCCCGGCCATAGAGGCTGGCAAAGAATGCAATGCAGTGCGGTGTGCAGTGCATTACATCCAGGGGAGTACAGGGGAGACATTGGGGGTCTTTTAGACCTTGGATGTCTCAATAAAGAAAACCTGTCATCAAAGTAAGTTTTTATTAATGGTAAAAAATTAAAAGTTACAGCCAAGCACATAACACCCCCTCAAAAAAAAAAAACATAGCCCCCCCCCCCCCCCCCGCATATACGCATGTAAAAAAATGTAAAAAGCACATGCTGCAGCGCCTACACATGAAAATATTGATTGCCATACACGTTACATATCGCCGCACACGCCAGAATGAGAGCGATAATTCTAGCACCAGACCTCCTCCGTACTCTATACTGATGACCTGTGAGGGGCTTTGAAAGGGTCACCTATAGATAATATAGGGCACTGAAGTTCACCATTTCACGAGTGCGCACAAATTTCAGGTCTGACACGCTGGATATCTATTTACTCACTGCAATCTCGTCCTTTCATATTTTACAAAATATAGGGTCATTTATTGCTTTTTTGTGCCCTAAAAAACTTACTTGTATTTTTTGCTGAACTTGTTGTGGTAATATCATACAACATAAACATTGGGTACCAGTATTTTATCCGGGGTCTCTGCTTTCAGAAAATATCTCATGTTTGGGGGTTTGTGTCATCTTCAGGTCTAAAATTATTTTTTTAAACTTGTGAAGAAAAAACACAAAAACGGCTCTGGGAAGAGAAAGGGATAAAGGATAAGCCGGACACTCCCCTTTCCTGAGGAGCAGCCAATCAGTGCTCATTATACTACAATGTCTCTCTCCTCCCTGCTAGTCCCATGGGGGGCGGGGCTGGAGACAGTCAGGGGGGAGGAGGAGATATACAGCACAATGGTAAAAATATTCCATGTTTAAGTCGCCATAAAGCCATTTTGATTGTATAACCGACATTCCTAAAAGGTCCTGGGTTTCATTTATATTTTTGGGTTACTGGATCTGGACAAGTAGATTGTCATGAGGGACAAGTAGATTGGAGACCCAATTTGGTCCGTGGTCAAGTCGTTTATTTAAAAAATGTTAACACCCCTGGACTATATAGTATCAGAATGATGTAATGTACAACATAAGTATATAGTGCAGGGGTCAGGAGTATGTAATGTACAACATAGAGTATATAGTGCAGGGGTCAGGAGTATGTAATGTACAATATAGAGTATATAGCGCAGGGGTCAGGAGTATGTAATGTACAACATAGAGTATATAGTGCAGGGGTCAGGAGTATGTAATGTACAACATAGAGTATATAGTGCAGGGGTCAGGAGTATGTAATGTACAACAGAGTATATAGTGCAGGGGTCAGGAGTATGTAATGTACAACATAGAGTATATAGTGCAGGGGTCAGGAGTATGTAATGTACAACATAGAGTATATAGTGCAGGGGTCAGGAGTATGTAATGTACAACATAGAGTATATAGTGCAGGGGTCAGGAGTATGTAATGTACAACATAGAGTATATAGTGCAGGGGTCAGGAGTATGTAATGTACAACATGGAGATATATAGTGCAGGGGTCAGGAGTATGTAATGTACAACATAAATTATATAGTGCAATGGTCAGGAGATATGTATTGTATTGTAATAACCTCCTTAGCGGTATTAGTGTGCAGGGGTCAAAATTTCAGTACCAATATCGGTAAGGGTCCCCAAGCTACAACTCAGGGCTTACCATGCGGGTTCTCCGGGGGTATGTAATCACAACTTAGTCCTTCGTATCCATATAGGTGCCGGGGGTCAGGAATTTGAAATTTTACAAAAAATGTCATTTTAGCTGTCATTGCTGTTTCAATGCATTTACGCATAGATATTTTGTCCCAGGCTTTGTCAGGCGCCCTGCAAACTGCATTAGTGCACTGTTCTTTCTGTAATGGAAACTTAGAGAATAGTCCAGGGGTCAGGAGTAAGTAATGTACACCACGTCAAAAGCAGGGTATATAGAACAGCGGGTAGGAGTATGTACCACTTGTACAGACATTGAGTATATGATATGTAATGTGGGGTAATTCCTCATCAGAGTACTGTACAAATAGAGTTATGCGACTTTGCAGGGGTCAGCGATGTGCGAATTTGCCTATGTATTTCAATAATCATATCAGTGCAGGGTTCAGGATTATATGTACAACATTGAATAGTGCAGGGGGTCAGGAGTATGTAATGTACAACATAATATATATGCAGGGGTCAAGAGTATAATGTACAACTAGACTCTTAGTTGCAGGGTCAGTGAGTATTCCTAAAAATTACAGCCTACAATAAGAACAACATATTTCCATGCAAAATCAGGATGGTACCGCTTTCAGCATGGTCAATCATAAATCAGTTTAATCATACCGCCAGGGTAGGGGTCAGGGTTCAAAGGTCCTTAAAGAGTTGCTTGCCTCCCATCTCCTGAGACTGCACTCAGTGACTTGGGTCTGAGACACTACAGACATATCCCTCCACCCGGCACAGCCAGCAGATAACAGAGAAGGTCCCCTGGAGGAGTCAGGCACAAGGCAGGAGACCCCAGTCACATGTCCTGGGTGCCTACATTATGCAATGCTTAGAGTAAAAATCAAATTTTTGCTGCCAGCTGAACCCCAGAACCTCCATAAATCCAGTCTAGATACATAAATTGTGTCTGCAGCACAGAGAAGGAAGATTATCCGAGAGAAATCCAGGAATACAGGACGGGGAACACAGCTCAGGAAAGTGACCAGGGGATTACAGGCTGATATCACCCAGTCCCCGCCCTACTCTGGACCAATCAGTGAGCAGTATGGGTGGAGGAATGGATTTAGTGTTCATGACCCACCTGTGCTGATCTCTGTAGGAGTGTCCTCCTCTATAAATGTCCCCGTTATTCCATCCTCCTCCATAGACTGCTGATCATCCCTCACATACGCCTCTTCTTCTTCTGCTTTCACCTCAAATTCTATATCGATTGGGATCTCCACTCTAAATCAAGGAAATGAGATGAAATATCATCTGTAAAATGTAAGGTCACATAAAAAAATCCACACATCATCTTTAGAGGTCCATGTTCTAGATGTTCCCCACCAACCTTGTAATAGTGAGGGATGGTGTGACCTTCCTGTGTGGAATCCCGGGAATACAGAGGACGGGGACATCTCTCTGGTGGGTTCCTGTAGCAGGATACCATAGTGTGGCTCCATCAGATCCTTGTGTCCTTTTAGAAGCTCTCCTCCTCCATCCCCCCTCCTCATCCTCCTCCTCTTTTTACTCTTCTTTAACCTCAACTTTATCATCTCTCAGGTTTCCACTCTGAATATATAATAAAAATGACATCAATGTAACAAAATGCAGATAATGTACAGATCACTAATGATACTATCAGTGATTGTTCCTCATCTACCTGATGATGGTGAGGGATGGTGTGACCTTCCTGTGTGGAATCCCGGGAATACAGAGGACGGGGACATCTCTCTGGTGGGTTCCTGGTATTAGGTGGCTCCATCATATCCTTGTGTCCTTCTGAAAACTCCCTCCATCACTCCATACTCCTCATCCTCCTCTTTATACTCTTCTTTAACATCAATATTATCATCCCCGAGGATTCCACTCTGAAAGATATAATAAAAAACATTCATTGTAACAAACATGCTGTGTATAAATCACAACTACCAATAATTGTCATCATCTACCTGATGATGGTGAGGGATGGTGTGACCTTCCTGTGTGGAATCCCGGGAATACAGAGGACGGGGACATCTCTCTGGTGGGTTCCCATGACTGGATCCATCTGTAGGAAACACACACACTGACTGAATCCATTGTTTCTATGTGTTTATCAGATGATGGGGGATCTAGGTGGATCCTCCGTACTGCTCTCTCTCCTTTACAATAAAGTCTCCTCTTACCCGGTGATGTGAGGGGGGCGGCTGATTGTCCATCATGACGTCCTTGTAGAGATCCTTGTGTCCTTCTAAATACTCCCACTCCTCCATGGAGAAATAGACAGTGACACCCTGACACCTTATAGGAACCTGACACACACAATGATACAGTCACCATCCAGACACATCCCTTGTCTGTTACTGGAGAATGTCCCAGAATTCCCGGCACCGCTCACCTCTCCTGTCAGCAGCTCAGTGATCTCTCTGGTGACTTCTAGAATCTTCTTCTTCTTTCTCTCTTCTATCAGGGAGGGAGGTGGAGGCAATGTGATGTCATATGATCTCCAGACTTCACAGGAGGAAAACTCTACATCTGAACACAAATAGTCACATCAAATGATATTCCCAGAATCCTCCTCACCTCTCCATTCAGGTCTCCATTTTATTAAAGCCCCACTTCAGGCTGAGGTATAATTCCCCCCACAGGACCCCCACACTACGCAGGGTATAGGCTTGTTGCAGCATTCTGATGTCATTACATACAACGCAGGACCAACAGTCCCACTTTACATGTGAGGATACCAAGGGGCCCCACATCCTAACAGCAGAAAAATCTCCAGATGGAGGGACATTGGGGGGGAGGAGAAGATGTGAGGTCAGTGTGATGTCATAGGATTCTCTGACTCTGGATGGAGGGACATTGGGAGGAGGAGCTGTGAGGTCAGTGTGATGTCATAGGATTCTCTGACTCTGGATGGAGGGACATTGGGAGGAGGAGCTGTGAGGTCAGTGTGATGTCATAGGACATATAGACTCTGGATGGAGGGACATTTGGATGGGGAGATTTGAAGGGTCCTCTATATGAGGCTCCCATACAAACCAAATCCTTGTTCCTGGGTGCGTCCTACCTCTCCTAAACTGAAGAGTGACCTTTGACCTTTACCATCCAGAAATCTGTCCGGAATCTGTGGAAGTAAGCTGTCATGTGATCAGGTGACGTGCGGAGGAACGGAGTGTAAATAGCAGACAATTGTCTCCAGAGCCCCTAATGGTGGGGATGGATTTGGCGGCGTGCTGGTGCCAAGTTTCCTCCCCCCAGGGTCACTGCAGGTGTGGAGAAAAGCTGTGTAAGATGGGATATGAGGAGGAGATCCAGGAATCAGGAGAAAGGTCAGGGCAAGCAACAGACGAGCGCATCCAAGAGACCAAGCCAGGGTCACTACACAGAAAATCAATCCAAGGAAACAACAGGCAGGACGAGGAATAGCAAGAAGGAGCTGAGAGACAAATGAGAATATTGCTCAGCCAATGGGAGATGATCTCAGCATGACTTCCATCATGAAGGAGATGAGGGGGAAGTCACTGAAGGTGACCATAGATCCATGGAAATTCAGCTGGTTCAGCAGGGATCGCTCACATTTCCATCCATGTGTGGCCACTGCCGGATAAAAGCCACTCCCCCAGCAGCTGCAGCCAATAGCTTCAGTGCTGATCTGTGTATTCTGAGAGCGGAGGAGTCCCCCATTGTCAGAATACAAGAGTGCAGCGGGGAGGATTCCCCATCCACCTCCAATGTGTGGATGGGGGAATTGCTTCAGTTTTTATGGTCATCCCGCTGGCTGAACGATAAAACTGAACCATGTAGGCCAGCTTTGGGGGCAAATATATTATCTTAACTAGGAAAACGCATTGACTCCTGCTGCTTTCCTCTGGGTAAATGCACCTATCTCCTATCTCAACTCTTAACTAGGAAAACACTTTGACTCCTGGTAAATTCAGAACAAATAGTGTATTTATATTTGTGTATACGTTGACCAGTTCTCACCTCTAGCTGCACCCGTTTTATAACTGTAGTCTGTTTCCTGAGAAACATCCCCCCTATTCATGTGATCCTTATCAGCTTCTAATTGGAGTGGAGTTGAATGTTTATTTGAGCATCTCCCTATAAATTTAGATCAACTCATGGGGGGGAGACCACTGATGGGGGGCACAGTCACACTGATGGGGTGCTGCATTGCGTGAGTGCTGCTTGATGGAGTGCTAAGACGAAGCAGTTAAACACAGCAGTTGAACTAAAGCAGGAGAACTCAAGCAGCAGGAAGACACAACAGCAAGAAACTCTACTGCATGCTGGACAGACCCAAGTAAACACCCTGGGACACATCTCTTACCTGCCTGAGTCCCACTTCGTCTCCCATGTTACTTTCCTCACCGTTCTTCTCTTAACCTCTGGGGATATTATTGCTCCAGAGGGGACACAACCCCTGCTCCTGAGGGAATGCCGCCACCACCCCCACCCCCGTTGGTACCCTCGCCAGCCACTCCGGAGGTCCTGCCATCGCCCAGGAGGAGTACTGGGGGCCCTGTCCCCTGCGGCCTACCGCTGCCTCTAAGCCTTGTTACTGCCCAACGCCCGAACCAGGACCCCGCCGTCCGCACCAGTGAGAGGGGAGCTTCCACCACCGCCTCCCCTACCTACAGCCGCCACCGTGAGAGGAGAAGCAGGCAACCACCCCCACCAGCACCAAGAGGGCAGGCCACCACTACCAGATCTTCTTCCTTGCTCCCCACTGTGTACCACACAACTGTGCCCCTGCCACCGCACAGCCCCGAACCCCATCCAATCCGGCAGAGGCGAGCCTGCCACACGTCCTCCTGCACCCACTGACGCCGGGGCCCTACAACACCTATGATCGCCAGACCCTACCGCTCCCACAGACGCTGGGCCCCTTAGCACCCTCAGTCGCTGGCCCGCAGCATCCACATGCACTGACCCACAACACCCACTGACGCTAAGCCCTACTGCGCCTACCAACGCCTAGCCCACTCCACCTCCAGACGCCGGGCCTTCAGCACCTCCACTCATACCAACCCCCAGCTCAACTTGACCTAAAGACTTGAACCCTTGTTGAAAGCCACCACAATGAGAGACCCCTCTGCACCCCAGACTGTCGCCACTCAAGCGCCCCTGGAAACCATCCATCCACACCTGATCCCCTCTCCCTTCTCGCCTAAACTCCAGCCACCAGCAGACACATCGATGAGATAGTCCAGCGGGCAGAGGCGTATCGACAACCAAGCCTCCCACCACTCCTATCCGCCCTCCTGGGCACCTCCCTAAAATGCCTCTTCCACTCCTTCTCATTTTACTCTCCTCCGTTCCCAAAATCCATTCACTATATCCTTCTGCTCCTCCCAAACAATTGTATATTGTGTCCTCACTGCTTCCTTCACCTCTCCACGGCACCCACCCACCTCCTCCTAAAACTCCACTCTCTCCCACTGACCCCCCCCCCCATCCCCCCAAATCCCCCTCCACCCCCCCCCCCACCCCACACACCCTCCCGCCTCCACGTCCTGCCGCAACACCGGCCTCCTGGATCCATATCCCGCTTCCTGGATGACTTTTCCTCCTGGCTACCCTTCTTCCTCTCCTCTGAGCTACCCACCATCATCCTTGGGGATTTCAACATCCCCGTCAACCCTCGACAACCCGGACACATCCCATCTCCTCCACTTAACCTCCTCCTTTGCACTTGCACAGTGCATACAATCCACCACCCACTCCGATGGTAATATCCTTGATCTTGTCTTCTCCAACCGCTGCGCTCCCCACAACCTCACTAACACCCCCTTCCCTCTCTCTGACCACAACCTGATCACCCTTCCCTCTATCTCCTCGTCCTCCAACGCCTACCTCTCCAAATGTCACACTACTACCAGCCGTAACCTCCGCAACCTTAACCCTGCCCCCCTCCACTCTGCAGCTGATCAACTCCATGACAGCATGCCCTCCCCCTGTCCTGCCCCGACTTGGCTATGACCGCCTACAACAACGCGCTCTCAACAGCCCTTGACTCACAACCTAGGCTGCCTTTAACCACACGCAACATCCAGACCCCGACCGCTCCAGCCCTGGCAGACTGACTCACAACCCAAAACCCTCAAACGACACAGTCCCCGTGCCCTGGAGTGACTATCCGCAAGTCCCCTCCACGGGCGCCGTCCACTAACCCCCTACAAAGCTCTTTCCACACCCCCTCCCCCTCCACGGACACTCGCAGCCGAACCCCCCTACTTCCTACCCCTCAGGCCACCGCCAGACCCACTAATTCCTCCCTCCCACCCACCCTCTTCTCCACCTCTCAACCCCCCACCCTCCCCCTACCCTACCCACTTCACCTCCTCACCACCTTTTGATGATTGCCCTCCCTCACACCCACCCTTCCGCAGCCGTATGACATCTCCCGTCTTTTAACCACCACACCCCCCATCCAAACCCCCCCTCTCGTCGTACAGCATGACCCCCTCATCGCCCCCTCAGTACCCCCTCGAGCATAATCCCACCACGGACTACATCGCCACCACCCTCACCTCTCCAACCCCTTCCCCCGCCCTGTCCCCTCACACTATCACTCCTCTCCTGTTGGCCCCCTAACCACCCCCCCCAACTCTCCACACACCCCCATCCTCCCTGATGCCCCCCTCCATCACTTCTTCCCACACCGCCAACCCTATCACCTCACACCTAACTTTACGGGACCCCTGCTCACTCAGCACGCCCTCCCAATCTAGCCGCCTCCCCCCTCCTTCCCACCATCCCCTCCATTCTCTACCTCTCCTTCGGCAACTTTCCCTCCCCTCTGAAGCATGCACACAGCACCCATACTTATAATAAGCCCTCCCTGGACCCCAATGACCCGAAACACCTTCAGGACCCATCTTCCTGCTCCCATTCACATCCATAACTCCTCGAGCACCTAGTCTACACCCACCTAAGCTTCTCACCACAATGACAAAAAACTCCTCGATCCCCTCAGTCCGTTCCCCCCACACTCCACCGAAACTGCCTTTTCTCAAAATCTCCAACACCTGCTAAAACCGCCCAAAACTAATGGGGCCCCTTT